GTCGCGCTTGGAGAAGCACCATTCGGGACATAATTGAGGCCGGCTAAATCAGTCATGATCGCAGCCGTAACAAGTACAAGTAGCAGATGCAGCGTAAGCGTATTCCACTGCACAGATTCACGCGCAAGTCAATAGTGTGGTGCTCCCCGGTCTATAGGACAGGAAGTGGGTGCTGCCTGCGATGATCAAACCTTCATGCTAATTGGTCGGTTGTCGATGACCACCCGAGTCCCGACACCTACTTCTCCTTGTGCCTCTAGCAATACGCGTTGTTTTTTTTTTAAGGAGAAGGACCATGTGTGGAACTATAGACTACCTGCCGCCGGAAATGCTGTTGGCACAGTCACATAACGAACGCGTCGATCACTGGGCAGTTGGTGTTCTTTGTTACGAAATGCTGTGTGGCCATCCTCCTTTTGAACATGATGACACCAAGGAGACCTACGCGCGGATCAAAGCAGTCAGGTTTACTTATCCTTCTGTAATCAGCCCTCTGGCTCAAGACCTAATATCAAAGGTAATTTTTCCTACTGCTACTGTTTAAGTAGATTGTTGAAAACATCTGAGCAACAAATTATTTATTTATTCATTCTTCCTCCTCCAGGTTCTGGTGCGTGACCCAGCTCAGCGGCTGGCGTTGGCAGAAATCCAAAAGCACCCTTGGGTTCAACGTTTTGCCGAGAAATCTTAATCTATCCAATCATTGACCCATGGAATTTTTAACGTATTGGCTACTTTATTTATTTTTTATCAAACCTGTATTTCATTCATTGACTTCTGCTTATGCCTCCCTTAAACCATGTTGGGTGGAAATTGATACCATGAACAAACATAAGATTTGCTTGCGCGTCGAAAGTTTTTAAGCATGTACTGCTTGTTCTTGGTGCCATTGTGATCATGCATACTCTGGACGGCTTCGATGACTCCGCGAATTGTAGCTCCAGGTATGATGATCTAAAACAGCAGGTGCAGAGAACTTGAAACATACGCTTTTCCAGTCACGGAAACTGGGAAGTAATTCCATGTCATAACGAACTGTGTCGTGTTAGGTTCTGAGTTGACCTGGTCGACACCTGTAAGTGATTCGCGGTGCTGGATCGAGGGCAACACCCTGAGCTCATTCGATTGACGGCGCAGAACACACCCGATCCCCTGTTATCTTCCTTTAACGACTTGGTATCCTTGTAGTGTCGTTGCAGTGGACGCGAACAACCTAATTTGAGCATGCGTAGATTTCGTTCCCTCGAAGGATAGTCGTCAGCCAGCGTTGTTTAGACACTAAGTTCTCGCCAATTTCCCCCACGCACAGTCTAGCATTCACACCCGCACTGGCGAAATGATGCCCGGAACTACGTAGCGATGGCGATATTGAATAGGGTCCGTAGAGCATTTTTAACAATTTTAAAACCTCGCAATCATGTTCAGAGAAAAATGCGGTCCCTGCTGTCTATTCGACAACATCGTCATCTTGAGGTATCTCTAACTGTCCACTTCAAGTTGACAGTCAGTTATCGCGAGTGGGACCTCCTGATCAGGAGTGCAGCTCGGGAACTGGTTTCCCCAGCGTTCATGGATAAACCGTCCGACTAAGCGACTCTATTCGCACCTGACACAGACTTTTAATTACCAAGACTTGAGGCTGGTAAGGCGACATACTTAGCGAAGTCGAGCTCAGTTACCCGGCAATCGAGTGCTAATCTGACGCCGTCAACTTAGTTTTGGGCCCTTTCTAGCATGCAGTGAATGGCATATGTGAACAGAATGGCGATAGGGTATAGCCTTATCCAGTGTCATGTCTCATGTCGCTGATGACGAATCCGTGACGGATATCGAAACGTCAGGCGAATAAACATTGTCCCAGTGATCGAGTCTT